GCCTTCCGAGTAGCCGGAATGACAGGCGCGCGCTACCACGCCCGGCTAATTTTTTTATTTCATTGTAGAGATGAGGTCTCGCCTGCCCAGGTGGGTCACGAACCATTTTTTATTTATTGTAGAGGTCTCACCAAGTTGCCGTTGCCCTGACTGGTCTTGAACCCCTGGGCTCAAGCAATTCTCTCTCCTCCGCCTCCCAAAGTGCTGGGAATCCTGGCATGAGCCACCACACCCAGCCATGATCAAGGCTTTCAAGATGTGGCTCCACTCATGTGTCCCACCTCACAGTCCACCCCTCCAGTCCCTCAGCTTCTAGGCCTTTCCAAGTGCTGTTTGCTCAGTAGGGAGAACTCCATTTTCCTGTCCACACATCTTTCAAGGTTCAGCTCAAGTGTCACCTCCTCAGTGAATCTTTCCAGACACCTCAAGTTCATGGAATTGATAGTTCCTGCCCGTGTCCCCAGGGCATTTTGCTTAGATCTCTTTTTATGGCCCAAAGAGAGCTTTGATCCAATGTTTATTTGGAAGGAAGAGGACTGGGCAGAAAGGGGTTGGAGGATGACCTCCTGACTCCCCTCTGGTTCTTCAAAATGAAGTTCACACTCTTGAACACAGCAGAAGACCCTTCCTGCCTCGCCAGCCCTGGCTTGCCTCCCTAACTGCATCTGTGCTGGACCATTCTCCCTCCTGCCTCCATGCTTTGCACATGGAGGTTCCTCTGCCTGGATGCAGAAAGATGGAGACATCGCCTTCAAAGTCCGGTTCCTGCTGCCAGCTCCAGCGACATCTTCCCCAGGTTTCCCAAGCAGAGCCCAGTGCCTCCCCTCTGGCCTTCAGGGCTCTTCAAGCATCCCACCCCCGTACTTCTCGCCCCATTAAGCCAGTAAGCCTGCAAGAGATGGCTCAGATCTTAGTCACATCACCCACACCTACCTGGTCCCCACATAAAACACAGGAAGTGTGCACACACACACATACACCCCAACACTGAATGAAAGAAGGCGGGCCCGCTTTGGAGCAGAGGATATCAAATGTTGGTGTATCACATTAACGCATTAAACGGGGGTCCCTGGGCCCCAGCACTGGCCCCAGCATCTCTGGGGAGGAGTCTCAGGACATCACCTGACTCAGGTGTTTGAGAGCTCCTGCTGGGGCGAGCAGTGATGCTAGGTGACCTGAAGGCCCCTTCCAACTTTGAGATGCTACCTGGAGCCAATGCATTCATCTACTCCCCATTCCATGCCTATTTTCATATTCCTAAAATAAAGTTAATAATCCATGCTTTGCCAGTCTCAGAGAGTTGCTATGGTCAAGATCAAGATCATTTACAGTTTGTCTTACATACTGCAGAACTCTGGGCAGCCAAAGCATGATTCTTCTTTGAAAATTCCCTTAAGCTGGGAGTGGTATTACACGCCTGTAGTTCCAGCTACTTGGAAGGCTGAGGCAGAAGGATCACCTGAGCCCAGCAGGTCAAGGCTGTGGGGGCCGTGAGTGTGTCCAGCCTGGGCGACAGAGTGAGACTCCAACTCAAAAAAAAAAAAAAAAAAATCCTTGCCTGTAAATTCTTCTAGGTGGACATACTGCTGTGGACTGAATGCTTGTGCCATCCTAAAATGCATATGCTGAAGCCCTAACCCCCGAAGTGGTGGCATTAGGAGGCAGAGCCTTCGGGAGGTAATTTAGGTTACGAGGTTGGAGGACTCAAGAACAAGGTTAGTGCCCCCTTAGAGATAAACTCCAGAGAGCTCTCTCTTGCTCTCAGCCATGTGAAAATATACTAAGCCAGCAGTCTGCAACCTGGAACAGAGTCCTCACCAGATTCTAACCATGGTAGCAGCCTAATCTTGGACTTCCGTCCTCTAGAACTGTGAGAAATAAATTCCTGTTATTTATAAGCCACCCAGTCTGTGGTGTTTTTGTTACAGCAGCCTAAGCTGACACACACACACACACACACACACACACACACACACACCCTCCCCCTTCAGTTCTTCAATTCTCTCACCATCAGGCAGGGTGCTGAGCTGGTTCCTCCGAACATTGAGGTCCCGCAGGGAAGACAGGCCACACAGCTCTGCAGGGAGGGACTGTAACTCATTGCTGCTCACATCCTGGAATTTAGAAAGCAGGGAGAAGGAGCTTTAAGACCAGGCTCATCAGAAGCTGCCCTCTCGCCTCTAGCCACCCACCCTTGGTCTAGGCCTTTCCCCAGGGCGCTCCCTGCTTCCCCGACTTCCCCAAAGGTCCCCGCTGCCGGGCTCGAGGGTCTCTCCTCTCGCCCTGTTCTCCATGCTCACCAGCTGCCGCAGGCTTCCCAAAGCACTGATGCTGGGAGGCAGGGCTCCCAACTTGTTGTTGCTGACGATGAGCACACGCAAGGGCAGCTGGCAGATGTATGGGGGCAGCGACGACAGCTGGTTTCGGCTGTGGAAGGGAGAAGGGCAGTGGGCTCACTCCCCGGGCATGGCATCCCAGCACTGTTCTTGTCGAGCATCACCTGAGGGTCACTCAGGGCACTGCGCACTGGCACCTGAAGCTGAGAGGAACAAGCCCCGCTCGCCCCTGGCTCCCTCTCCCTACCTGAGGTTGAGGTAGGTGAGGGCTGTGAGATTCCCCAAGGCTGGGTTCAGGCATCTCAGGCAGTTGTGGTAGAGACTTAGGCCCTCCAGGGACACCAGCTGGCAGGCTGCCTCAGGCACCTCGGGAAACCGGTTCCGCGACAAGTCTAGGGACCAAGTGTCGGAAGAGAGTTGTGGAAGGGCCCAGTCCCGCAGAGGACCTGGAGGCTCCCCTCGGCCGCGGCCCAGCTCCATACTCCCAGACCCAAGGAATCAAGTCTTTCGTAAACCTGGGCTTCCTGGAGAGAGAACAAAGCCTTCTGCAAACTCTAGCACATTCCAAGCCTGACCAGAATGGCAAAGGGGAGGCAAAGGGCTTAGGGTCATGATAGGCTAGAGAATCCCAGACTTGGGGGTAGGGATTACCATGAGAATCAGTGAAGGCCGGGCTCAGTGGCTCAGCCTGTAATCCCAGCACTTCGGGAGGCTGAGGTGAGTGGACTGCCTGAGCCCACTCAGTCTGGAGGAAGAATAAATTATCCACAACAAGGAAACACCTGCTCCCCTTTCGTCCTGCACGGCCCAACTACAGAAAGCATCTCCAGCACTAGGTGGAAAGGTAAAGAGGCCCGGGTCTTTTAGAAGGTCCCAGCAACCCTACAGCACAGCAGCCAGAAGCCTCTGGAAAATGCCTCCTGAGGCCTGGCGACAACCTTGTGATGTAGGCCGCCTGTAAAGTGGGAACATTTAATAGGTAAGGAAATCACAGCTCAGAAGTCAAGTAACTACCCAAGATCGAAAAGCTAGCAAGCGTTGGCCACTTTGGCTTCCTATCTAGAAAAGCCCCTGAGGCTCTACACACAAGTCCTCCCAGGTCTGATTTGTCATTAAACCGGTCCTAAGGCACTCAGGGAGATGGCCAAATTAGCAAGGGAGAACAAGAGTTCAAGATTAGTCCAGGCAACTTGGAGAGACCTCATCTCTACAATAAATAAAAAGTTAGCCGGGCGTGGTAACGCACGCCTGTAGTTCCAGCTACTTGGAAGGCTGAGGCAGAAGGATCGCCAGCGCTCAGCAAGTTCACACTGGGGTGCCCGTGAGCGTGCCACTGCACTCCAGCCTGGGTGACGCAGTGAGACTCCAACTCAAAAAAATATAAATAAATAAATGAAGAGCTATCTTGGAAGGGTGGCTGCAGTTGATGCCTCTTGTAGTTCCTGTTGTTCTGAGGTGCCAGGAGAAGTGGAGGGCAAAAGGTCACAGAAGAACTGGCACTCACGAGAAAAAAGTAGGGCGACGGGCTGGAAAGCTCAAGGAGAGAATATACACACTCCTAAGGAAGACCCCTGGGAGAGCCCATCTCTCCTCAGGGGCCCTTGCTCCTACCTCAGCCTGTTTTCAACACAGGGGAGAAGCCACAGGTCACTATATCCTAGTGCTAGAGACTAAGTATGGCTCCGACACTGAACAACAGTTTTTCGCCAGGCCCAGGCCCAGCAGCCAGGTCAAAGGGACTCTGACGTCACAGATTCCTAAGAACTAGGAGGAAAAGGCAAGAAAACATGGCTGGAGGTGGGAGCTGGAGCTCGCAGGTCCCCCCAGCTGGGCTCCCCTGCTCAGGACTGACCTCCTTCCCACCCTCTTCCACCCCATCAGCCCTCCTCTGCTCCGTCTCTTACTGACCCGACTTCAAGAGATCAGTACCTTCACATGCATCTTAGGCATGGCGAGGAGGGGAGAGCCTGTTACCATTCCCTTATCTCAAGCCGTGACTTGCTATTCCACTGCCAGGAGGCTGGCCTTGGGATTCCCTCCAGTCTGGAGACACGAACTGCTCAGACCTCCAGAAGCCTGTGTTTCTGTGTCCTCAGCTCAGCCTGTACTGGGAGGGGCAGGGGCTGCGGGGGGATGTCCCAGGCAACAGACCTTGGGCGAGCTGCTTCAAGGGCGCTCCTCAGGGAGGGGCGCACAAAAGCTGAGGGGACGGGAGGGGAAGCTGGGGCATATCCCCCAAGGAAATGAGTCTTGTGACAGGAAACGCGATAGAAACAATCTGTCAGGTTCTGTCTCTGATAGACCCTGTGTTTACCAGGGCGGGTGGCAGCCTGATGTCCCAGGAATCACTCTCTCCCACTCTCTACCCTACCCTGTTGCACACAGGCAGAAGCCCTGACCCAAGAGATGACAGTTCCGGAGACAGTAGGAGGACTGCATCTGGTTCTCCCAAACTTGGCCTCCACCTGCTCGCTTTCTGTGTGTGTGTGTGTGTGTTTGTGCACGCGCTTGTGGATGAAGGGGGTGAAGACCGAGTTCTGACGGGGTAAGCGGGTGGTGGGGACAAAAGCTAGGAGCGGAAGGGAGTCCAGGCAGAAGGTAGGGTCCAGGGGCACAGGATGTGGTCTGTGAGAGAATGAGCTACACTTCTCCTTTGCTGGAGCGGCCCCTCCTCCCCTTCCCCAGGATTCTTCCTACTACTGGCCCCCAGGGAGCAGAGTCCAAGGGATATCAGGGCCATGCAGGGAAGACACTCAGAAAGAGCTCAGAAAGCAGGAGGAGAGGGTTCAAACTGATTTGGGCAGCAGAACACTGATGTTTTCAGTCTGGTCTGGATGGCAAGCAGATATGGAGGCAGGGTATGGGCAACTCCGTTTCTGTCACTTCCCTTTTCTGTGCCAGGCTATGAGCACCCTGCTTTGGGGAGAGAAGACAGAGAGAGTTCTGGAGAAGATGGCCCAGAACTCAGGCCCTGGAAGGACTCGGGATTTCTGCATAGAGAGTAGGGCAGAAGACTTCCCGGGAAGCTGGGATTTTCCCGCTTCACCACACAAGCAAACTCACAGGAGCACTGGCTGCACCCTGAGCCGGAATGCAGGGGGAGGAGGTGGGAGGGGGTAGGAGGTGGGAGGGGCGAGGAGTTCTGGGTAGTTTTCCCCCCGAGTCCACTCACAGAGACAGAGCGCTAAGGAAGTGAAGAATAACATTTGGTCTTTGTCAAAAAACAAGCAAGGGGGAGGGGAAGGGGAACAGACAGCGAGTGTCCCACAGCTGCTGAGGTCAATCTGGAACTCGGGGAGTTAGGTGGGGAGACAGGGCTGAGAGGGGCAGGAATGGCTCCTGGGGCTCACTCATTCTCCAGACTCACGCACCGTGGGGTAGGCAAAACAAGTGGGGAGGTTTCCACGGCAACAACAGGGGAGAGAAAGTGCGTGCAAGTGCGTCGGTGCCAGCCTGAGTGTTTGCGAGTGAGCAGACACACCTGCTTGGGGAAAAACACACTCTTTCGCCCATCCCCACATCCTCCGTCAAAGGCGAGCGGGGAGGAGGAGGAGGCCTCCTCACGCCCCAGCCTAGGCCGGGGTGGGGCTTGGCGAACGCAATCCTCCCCTCCTCTCCGGATCCTCACCCCGCCCCCCCAGCTGCTCGCCCCGGGTCGGAGGCTGCCTCGCGAGCAGCTGAGGCCGACTCACCTGTCGCAGTGGTGTCCCCCACCCCTCACCGTCCACAGACACCGGGGCGGAGGGCGCATGGTTAGAGGGATCCTGCGGGTGGAGCGGCGGGAGGATAGCCTCCAGCTAGCCAGCACTCCCAGCTGGGAGATAAGATTTCCTTCCTTTCAGCAACTACCTCAAGCCCCTCCCCTAAGGGAAAGCAGAAACCAAAGTGGGGATTTCAGGGTTCCTACGAGGTCACGGGCCCCACGGTGACCTCACACGCGCAGGAAGGAGAAGGGGGCTCAGGGGGAAAAGAGTCAGGGGAGGTGGGAGTCTGGCTTCTTTCTCGCGGGCTGGCCGGCTTGAGAGTGCGAGGGCCGGGACCCACGGGGGCGGGACTGCGGCAGGAACGCAGAAGCCTCAGGCGTGAGGGGCGGTCCGCGGGCAGGGGGCCCTGGGGCTGCTCGGAGCGCGGCGGAACGGGCAGAGGAGACGGAGCCGAAGAGGAAGGAGCGAATGGAGTCGCTAGAGGAGCTCACGGGGCCGCGGCGTGGCCCGGTCCCGGCGGCGCAGGAGGCCGTCATGCAAATGAGCCAAGCAGGTGAGGGGCGAGGCCGTTCTACAGGTGCGCAGGCACGCAAA